TGTTTGCGCGGTGCAGCGCGAAGGCGCAGGCCCCGTGAAATATCTGACGTTTAAAACACTCGGGGCCCGGAGCAGAGGGAGAGAGAGAGAGAGAGAGAGAGCGGCTCCGGGCTACTTGGGAGGCTTCCGGGCGACGTCCCCGGAGGCCTGACGCCCCACCCCGCCCGCCGGCCGTGCGTTTCTATTTAGGAGATGGCCCAAATGAGGCGCCTGGGCCCGTCGAACGCTGGGGGGCCGGGGGCTCGGCCGGGGGCGCGGCGCACGGCCTGCACCGGCACTGCGCGGAACGACCAAAGATTTGAATTCGAGAAATGGAGCCGCGTCGCGGTTAGGTCTCCGTGACTCCACTCGGCCCGCGATGCGAGCGACGCGAGCGCACTGTAAGAGCAGCCGGGGGAAGTCAGGCGGCTCCGCGATAGCCTATCATTTCCTCTTTTTCGCAGAGTAGGTCGACCTGGCGTCAAGCGCTCGCCATACGGCGGTAGATTCCAGGCGAGAAGGAAGGGGAGGGGGAAGAGGGGGCAGCCTGCAAACTTCTCCGCGCGACATCCGCTTCGGGAGGGAGGGGGCGGGGGGGCTAGTATCAGGGCTGCTGGCTGCGTCGCCGCCGGCGTACCCCACCAAAAAAAAGAGGTAAATAAAAGCAACGCAAATAAAAAGCCGGGCGTGAGAAATACTAATGAACGGACGGCCGATTAAAAACGGGTGTGTTTTATAACGAGTGGGGCTCCGTCCCGGCCGTCCCATTGGCTGGCGAGGGCGGCCCTTTGTACCGGCAGCAGGGTGGCCCTCCTCTGTGCCCCCCCCCCTCCCGGCCCACCCCCACCTCTTGATCCGGTTGGCTCGAGATGCCTTTGTCAACGGCATTTATGGCGAGCGTTTAGGCTGCAGTGTGGTGGCGGCGGCGCTCCGCTCGGCTGGCTGGAGGGCTGGAGGCGAGACTGGAGGCGAGGCTGGAGGGGTGCGGGGAGTCTGTGTGGCTGGAATGCAGCCCGAAAGAGCAGTCGTCGGGGTCGTCGCCTCTCGCCTGAATTATGTCTGGCCCCGACAAAACCAGCCGGACAAACCCGACTTTAGTGGTCCGCTCCACGCCGCGCCCCGCCCCGCCCGCAGGTCTCTGTGGTCGCTGCAAAGCGGCGGGCCGGCCGGGGCGGGCAGAGCTACGTCGAAACGGAACTACACCACACCACGCGACGACCGGAAAACCGGAAATCGGATTCCGAAACTCCGCCGGCCCGTTTGGCGGAGTCGCCGGCCGCTTCGAATCCGGCGGCTGGCGAGCGCCCGACGAAGCGCGCGCGGCAACCCGGTCGCCACGCCGGGCGTCGCGCTGCCTGCCTCGCAGGCGCCGTGCCTCGCGGGCCCGCTCCAGGACCACCACGACGGCCCGACTCGCTATCCGCCATCGGCACACAAAAAGGCGGCGGCGTCGGTATTCGAAGCCGCGATGATTCGCACATACTCGGAGCACACACTGCCAGCAGCACTGCCTGAGGCTGCGCGGCAGCGCGGCGGGGTGGGGGCGCTGCGGAGCGAGGCAGGGCGGGGCGGGGCGCTTCGGAGTTGAGCAAACCCATTGTCGCTGATAGCACATGTACTGTTAATGCGACCTGTACAGCCCAGATAACAGCGGGGCTGGCGGCCGAGAGGGCCGAGAGGCAGTGGTGGGGAGGGAGGGAGGGAGGGAGGGAGGGAGGGAGGGAGGGAGGGAGGGAGGGAGGGAGGGAGGGAGGGAGGGAGGGAGGGAGGGAGGGAGGGAGGGAGGGAGGGTGAGGGCCATGCCGATGCCGAAGGCCCCTCCGACCCTCCGGCAGCAGGCTGCAGCGAAGGTGTGGAACGAGGCGGAAACGTCGAAAGACAGGGAAAGCGTGGTGGCCTGCCCACCCGGCGTGTGTGCGACCGGGGCGGGGCGGCGCGGGGTGTTCGATCTCCGCGCGTGTCTACCAGCGCCTATTCTGCGGCGAGAGGTCACGTCTCGCGCGGTCCCCCCGCTCTCGCCATGCACTGCCGGAAATTGATTTTAAAAGCCCCTCTTGTTGGCGCCTTTTCGCCGAGCCGACGCACACACCGCACACGCCACACACGCCGCCCCGGAGCAGGCCAGGCCGCCAGGCTCCTACCCCGAGGCTGTGGTTATTAGGAGACTGCGGAGGCGTCGGCGAGCGGCCACCCGTCTGCATGCTGTGTGTGTGTGTGTGTGTGTGTGTGTGTGCGCGCGCGCGCGCGCGTGTGTGCGCGTGTGCGTGTGGCCACCTGGAAATGAAAGGCGGCCCCAGAGGGGTGCACTGTAAGTGAGCTCCGTGATTGAATCGCGGCCTCGATGTTCCGCGCGGCTCCGCGGCTCCGCGAGTTGTTCCTCCTCGCGGGGAAGTCTATACAAGGCGCGGCGTCCGCGTCCTGGGCGTCCTTTCCGCAATTTGAACAAAATATGCAAACGGGCCGCGTCTCGCGTATCGCGTCGCGCCTCGAAGAAGAAAGGGGAGCGGGCTCTCCTCCGATCATCTCGCCTTGTTTTTCTTTCTTACTTCCCCCACACAGTCTCTCTCTCTCTCTCTCTCTCTCTCTCTCTCTCTCTCTCTCTCTCTCTCTCTCTCTCTCTCTCTCTCTCTCTCCCCACGCACCTAGTCGGCGGCGCCGCCTCCGCGACGCAATTTGTGCACGGCGTGGGTGGCTCTCTGCTCGCTAACAGGAGTACCGCACCACGCACACACACGCCTTCCCATTTTATTTTTCGTCTGTCATTTTTTTTCTTCTTTTCGATTCTTTGTGATACATTTGAAATATAACGAGTACTTTTTTTTGTTCGGACGAAAAACGTGTTGGGGATCAATCCCTCCACCTCAGGGGACGGCGACGCGCCTGGCTGTGCGGCCGTGCGGCCGGCCTGGCCTCTCACTTCCCCCTCGCTGCCGCGGCTCGGCTCCGCGCGGCGCGCCACGGCCATATCGGAACTGGCAGCAATCATATTTAAATGTGCGCCACGCCGCGTCTGGCCTCTCTGCCTCTCCGCCGCCCGAGGCCGGGCGGGCAGGGGGCGCCGCCACCGTCGGCACCGTCGCCCAGAGTGGTTTGGCGTCTCACCTTTCCGCTATTGGGTTCGTGTGCGTGCAAACACGTGCGCGCACGCATACGCACACTCACCACACACACACACACACGCACGCACACACACACGCGCACGCACACACACACACACACACACACACACACACAAAGACGCGCGCGGCAAGTGCCCGGATGGAGTGTGTTTGAGAGGGGCTGGTGCCGCGCGACGCCATGCCGCGGTGTTCTGGGACGTGCGCAATCTCTGGCGACCATCGCCGCTCGCCTCGCCGCAGATGTCGCCCCGATAGGCAGGTGGCGATGGGCTGCCTGCGGCTGCCTGCCTCCTAATGCCGCCGCCGCCGCTGCCCTCGCGAGACGCGCCGCTCCTCGCCGTTGACGTGGAGGCCGCGACGCCGGAGAGGCTGTGACGCAGCAGCAGCCAATCGATGCCGTCCGAGTCGCTCTGTCTCTCTCGCACTCCCTCCCTCGGGGGCAGGAGAGAGAGAGAGAGAGAGAGAGAGAGAGAGAGAGAGAGAGAGAGAGAGAGAGAGAGAGAGAGAGAGAGAGAGAGAGAGAGAGACGAAGCACTGTTCGGAATCGATGCCGCCGTGTCTCTGCAAAAAAGTTTGACCGGCTTGCGCCGGCCTTCTTGACGGCCTCCAGCGCCACCGCGACGGCGATGACGGCGAAAAGAGAATTCCCTACGCACGGCGCACGGCGCTCCCCCGCACACGCGCTCAATGTTTAACGGGGCTTATTCCTAACTCATGACTGGCTGGGAGTCGGGTAGGGCCGAAGGGCGGGGCGGGGCGGGGTGCGGCGGGGTGCTCGCAGGACCACTCACCGCCATTTGGCTTCATTGATCTCGAGTCCCCCTGTCTCTCGGTCTCTCCCCGCCCATGCAGGCCCCCATTATCCGCCTCACCCCGCCCCGCCTCACCCCGCCCCGCCCCGCCCCGCCCCGCCCCTTCGGCCGATGTTTCGCCGTGCTCTACGATTCACGCGCCGCTGGCCGAGATAAGCATTTTCTTTTTCATTCGCCTGCCGTTCGCTGGTTCTGCCGTTGGCCGGGCCGCCGCTCTGGGCCTCTCAGCCCCCGCCCCGCCCCGCCCCGCCCCGCCCGCCCCGCCCCGCCCGCCCCCCCCGCCCCGCCCTTTGATACAGGCCCGCGATACGGACCAAATCGGCACGTCAAGTGCTTTGTAGCCGCGCGCGCAGCAGCCGCACCGCACGCCCAGAAATTCGCGCTCCATTGTTGTTGTTTGCTTTACTTTTCAAAAACAAAAACAAAAGAGCAACCGAAAGTTGAATTTTTTCGTACGTGAATAGAGAGCAGTGCCCGGCCGGCTGAACCACCCTTTCCCTTTCTCTCAGGTGACCCTTCCTCTCCTCCGATGCGATAATTTATTCCTCACTGGCGGGGGCGGCGGGGCGGTGTGGGCGTCCCAAAAAGTCATATTTACTGCGTCGCCTTCAATAAGGCCCTGCCGCCGGCCCGCCGCCCCCGGTGTGGTTTATGGCGCCATCCCGTGTGAAGCTGCACGCCGTCCGTCATGTCCGCCAAGACACCCTCCCCGCCGGCCGGCCGGCCGCACTCCGCACCGGAGCACCCCGACGAGCACCTGGACGACACAGCTCATTTCGCGACGACGAGCAGGCCGTCGAGCACGCCGTCAAGGAAGCCGTCGAGCACGCCGTCGAGGACGCCGTCAAGCACAACGACGAGGACGGCAATGGAATAAACAGGGAGGCGCGGCGCGACTAATGAATCCTGATGAAAGTTGCTTGTTCGCCGCTAACCAGATGAAATGGGGTGTTGTTGTCCTGGCGCCTCCGCCGCTCGCTCGGCCTCGACGACACGTTTTTTTTTAATTTTTAATTAATTTCTTGTTCTTTACAGTGTAGCTTGACGCGGCGCGTTCGCTCTTGTTGCAGGTCGTCGCGCTGTGTCCGGCATGCTGCCTTCGCTGCCCACTGGCTGCTCGAGGTGAGTCACTCTCTGCGAGTGCGAATCGCGGCGTCCCCGCGGTCAAAATCCTCGCGATTCAACGAAAACAACAACAAAATGGTGGAAAAGAGGAAACGATTAAACCACTGGCTCTGCACTGCTCTCCTCGGCTCTGCTCTCTGCGCCGCAAAAGCCCTAGAGCAGCTCGCTCGCCCCCGAAAAAAAAAACAAAGAAGAAAGGGTCCCGGCGATAATCAGAGCGAGAGAGACAAAACGGGGAGGGCGAAAGGCGTGCCGCATGTTGTCATGACAACGGAGTGGCGCAGCGCAGCGCGCAGCCTCCACGGCCCCACGGCCAGACGGCTGTAATTGGTCCAATCTCGCGTCTTCTCCGGAGACGGCACAAGGAAAGCAGCTCGCGTCCGATCGATGCGGACACGTCGCGGAACGTTATATTCTCGCAGTTTTCCGCTTTTCCGCTGCGCCGCGTGACCCTCCGCCTCAATAAGTTGGCCCGATTGACGTCCTGAGAGAGACAGAGAAAGCGCCCCGCCCCTCGCTGCAGTGTCCCCCGCCGTTAGAGCTAAGTGCTCTGTAAACTCAAAATCGCCACTCTGGAAAGTTTTGGCGCCCGCCCCGCGCCTCGCCGGTCCCTCGCCGGCCGTGGTCTCCGCAGTGCTTCGCAGCTTCGCGGCGCGGCAGCAGGCTCCTGTTTTCGACGTCGGCGAGACGGGGCCTGCAGACTGAGAGTCGTTTTCGTCGCTCTGTCTCTCTCGCACCTGCACCGGACGCCCCATGAGAGCGAGAGAGACGGAGCGAAGCAACGACGCTCGGAATCAGGCTGCTGGAACGACGGCCGCCTCTGGAGTGGACGCCCTATTACCACACGCTCATCATTACCGGCACAGCGAGGCACGGCGAGGCACAGCGAGCCGAACAAACAGTCGACAGAGTCGCGACCTGCTCCGCCCGCTCCGCCTCCCCACCCCTCCCTGCCGCCGCCGTCAAGTCCCTCCCGGTCGCCGTCGCCGAGACGGGGAGCCCGACGTCCTCCACGGTCGCGGCGCATCGCGTTTGTCGTCTGACGGGGCGAAATTTCCGCCTAATCCTCTTAGTCGTTGACGGCGACGTCGGGGCGCCCCAACAGACAAAGCGCCGAACCCGCCATTTTCACTTGGCGGCGCGGCTGCCTTTCGAGCTTCCAGCGCCTCCAGCTCCCGACGGAACATCGCCATGGCGAGGCCTCTGGAGCGTTCCTGGAGGCCGCTGGAGTGTTCCTGGAGGCCACTGGAGTGTTCCTGGAGGCTGCTAGAGTGTTCCTGGAGGCCACTGAAGTGTTCCTGAAGGCCACTGGAGTGTTCCTGGAGGCTGCTGGAGTGTTCCTGGAGGCCGCTAGAGTGTTCCTGGAGGCCACTGGAGTGTTCGTGGAGGCCACTGGAGTGTCCCTGGAGGCCGCTGGAGCGCGGTGGCCGCGGCGAGTGCGAAAAAAGGCCTCGGAAACAATGGGCGCGTTGGCGAGCGGCGTGCGGAGCGGCTTGGTTGAAGAGAGCGTTAATCTCCTCGGTCCAAGGAAACCAAGGCAACCGGCACTTGCGACGCGCGCCGTTTCGACAAAAGCCCGGCTCCGGCCCTGCGTCGATGTAGCCGTTACGATTTCGTTGCCGCTGCCAGTGGGGGCGGCGCGGGGGCGGCGCGGGGGCGGTGTGGGGGCGGCCGGGACTAATGATGCCAATTTATAGCAGAATGGCTCCTTCTCGCCCTAGTTGGGCTGATTTCATCATTTGGGACTGATTTCCCTGCCCGGCCTGGCCCGGCCCCTCCTGCTGCTGTGCTGCTGCTGCGACTCCCGCGCCATTGACTCCGGCGGGAAGCACGGCACGGAGGCGTCTCATTCTCGCTTCGTCGCTCTGTCTCTCTCGCACCCCGACGGCACGGCCCACGAGTGCGAGGGAGGCAGCACCCCGACGACGCACCGCGGCCCCCATTCCCCATTCGCCATTATGGACTCCCTCCTTCTGCCCCGACTGTGCGCGACTTGGCGCGCTCGGGCTTAGCGGTCAGTGAGGGCCCCCGGGCCCGGGCCCCGGGGTTTAGCGTCCAGAGAGCCAACCAACCCCCTCTCTCTATCACACAGGCAGACGCACACGCGCACACTCACACACACACATGCACACACACACATGCACACACACAGCGTTAATCGGCCGAGCAGACCGCACCGGCCCACCGAAATGAACTCTTGTAAAGGGGAAAAAAGTTAAACAAAGCCCAAGGGTAGGGCGTCGCCGCGTCGCTCTGTCGAGTCTGCTTGCTGTGCGTTCTCCAACGTTCCCCGCGCGGTTTTGCTGAGGGCGCCTGCACTTTAGGCAGCCACCCAGGGACCGTCACGTCCGCGCGCGAAGGGTGGCCTACCCCGCGACCCGCAGGCGGCGCAGAGCAGCGCAGAGCACGGAGGACTCGCCTCGCCGCCGGCCTGTTCATGTCGCCAGTGTCGTCGCCTGCCGTCCGCCGAGGTCCGCGTCGCTCGCCGGGCCGCAACCACGGCCGAAGCCCAGCCGAACCCCAGCCGAGCCGCGTTGCCCGCGTTGCCCGCGTTCCGACGAGTCGTGTAACAAACACCTCTCTGAGCCGCGGCGGACAAACACAAACAAAAGTGGTGTGCCCTCCAGGCACGGGGCTGTGTGTGTGTGTGTGTGTGTGTAGGTGTACGAAGGTGTGTGTAAGTGTGTGTCTGTGTGAGTGTGGTGTAGAGAAACACCGCATCAACTCCAATATCACTTTCCGCCTACACAGCGCAGGGAGAGGCACGATCCCATCTCCCTTCCCCCTTGGGCGCCCGCGTGTGTGTGCGGGTCAGTGTGTGCGTGCGTACGTATGTGTGTGCGCGTGTGTGTGTCTGCCGGGAGATGGGAAATTCGCTGGCGTGAGTGCTCATAAGTATTGATGGTATACGTGTAGGTAGTTGGATGGAGGAAGTCATCGCCGAGGCGGCGGTTGGCAGGCAGGCAGGCAGGGGGTAGGGAGTCTTGGTGAATCCGTCTATCCGTCCGTCCAGCCACCCTTGTCTGCCGCCGTGCCGTGCCGTGCCGTGCCGTGCCGCGCCGTGCCACTCTCCGATGACGAGACTTGCTCTGCTGCTCAAATTCAACTTGCGGCCGCCGCGCCTGTGGCGGCCTGGCAGCCTGGCAGCCTGGCCCGCTCTCGCGCCCTCTTTTTGTCGCCTCTGGCATGGCGGCCCCCTCCACGACCCGCTCTCCCCCTCTCCCTGGACCCCTTTATGCTGAGCCCCCTTCCTCTCTGTGTGTGTGTGTGTGTCCCCAACGGGCTGCAGCCAGAGACGCGTTATCATCAGCGATAGATAAGCAGTTTCCTCCTGCCTGCCGACAAGCCCACACGCACGCACTCACACTCTTTACCCACTGTGCACTGCCATGGCACTGCACTGGGAGCCTCTCGCTGCATCGCCTGTCATGTGGGGAACTCGTTGGCGCAGCGGCGGCGCGGCGGCCCAGCGCAGTGCGGTCCCGCTGTCGTCACAAAAATTGTGTGTGTGTGCGGGTGTGTGTTTTTTGCCCGCGCGAGGATGTGTATCAAAAGTCACGAGAATGCGTTTGTGGGCGCGGAGCGACGCAGAGCACTGCGGAGAGGCATCTGTTTGAGGAATTAACCCTTTTGCCCCGGCCGGCAATTGGACGGCCGTATGCATGACGATCCACTGAGAAGGGGGAGGGGGGGCACTGGAGCGACTGGCGTGGCCCTCGCGCTCGCGGCATGTGTGTCGTTTGGCGTTTTGTTTTCATGACCCGCTTTTTTTACGCGGCCTGTGTGTTTCCCTCCATAACGCGGCGGGGCGGGACATTCCCCACACGTGTGTGTGTGTGTGTGTGTGTGTGTGTGTGTGTGTGTGTGTGTGAGTTTGAGTCTGTGAGTGTGAGTGTGTGGATGGGCAGGCCAGGCGCGTATGCGGGTCGACCGCGTGAAGCGCGTCGCGGTCGCCTGTGCCGCGGCTCCCGCTTGGCTGGGCCAGTCAGGTGACTACTGCGGGCTGCCTATGGCAGCATATACCATTACCATTACTGACTAGACCACCATCGGGCGAACGGACGGCCAGACAGACAGACAGACAGACAGAAGGCGCTGCTAACAAGCGGGGCACGCAAAACGGCACTGCAGGCTGCAGCATAAGGAGCTAGGCCAAGCCAAGGGACCAAACGCAACACCCGGTGGCGGCGCGGGGGGCGGCGCGCGGGGGCGGAGGCAGGGTGTCAACCCCGGTCTGTAATGAACACAGGGGGCTCATTACCGACGTCGTGTTCCTGCCCCGCGCCGTTGCCCCGCACAAGGCCCCGCCCCCGCCGCCCGCCGCGCCACTCCGGTGCAAGCAAGGGCGCCGGGCCTTATGACGGCTCGCGGCGTCCGCGTCGCAGGGCAGCCATCCGTTCACTCGGCCCGACTAGCCTGACCCCGGGGACCCTTTTCAGGGAGAGGGTTTGAAGGCCCGCGCCGAGCGGCGGGGACTCGGCGGAGGGCGCGTTGACGGTGAGAGGGGCGCCACCCCCGCCCGCCACCCCCGGACTCATCGGCGCGAACCCTTCACCAGCCCTCTTCTCCGCCGAGTCCCTTCAGACGGCTAGGGCCCCGCTAGGGCGCCGCTAGGGCAGCAAGAGTGAAAGACGCCAACAGAAAAGGGAGGGAGGGCTCGGAGAGGGAGGACTTGCTTTTATGTCAAGCCGCCGCGCGGAGGGGGGAGGGGAGGGGCAGTGCGTCCTGTCCGCTGCGAATCTAGAGAAATCCCCCTCGGCCGCCACTAGAGCCCCACCTGCCACGGGCCGGTGGGGCCGGCGGGGCGATATTGAAAACGGCGCCTGTTTGCGCCAGGTTTAGGGAGGACCCCGGCTTGGCGGCTCTGCCGGCAGGGCAGGGCCCCGCGGGGTGTGGACGGGTATTGACGCGGGGCCCGTCCCTGAACGCGGAGCGGGGAGCGGCAAGGGCGTGGCCGGGGTGGCCAAGGCGGGGTGCCCCCTGGGGATTACAGGGGCTGCGGGGCGGGGCGCGGCGGGGCGCGGGGCTGAGCCCACGTACGCAACGTCATCGTGTGTGATCTGGGCCGCGTTACACAGTGGAGGGCACGGCCCTGCAAGAGGGAGGCCACCACGACGACGATCACGACCACGATTGGCCGCTCGATTGCGGCGCGGTGACGTCCTTCTTGTCCTCCACGCCGTGGTGACACCACGTGCGACCCTTCGGTCTTGGCCTCCACGACGGTGACGCCAGTCGGTCGTTTTGTTCCACTCCAAACCGCCATCCCGATCCAGATCTACGGGATCGCCGCAGGGACAGGAGGCGCTCGACAGAAGGCGCTCGGCGCGCCAGTGAGCACACGGAGTAGTGCCCTGCCCGTCCTGCTATCTCCGTCACTATCGCGCGCCCCTCCACGTCGGCGGTCCCCTCCACCTCCTCCACCTCCTCCACCGTGGGCCGCCAAGCCGCCCGTTCCAGTGTGGCCGCCGTGGCCGGCGCGGCCCCGTCCTGCAGGCCGCGGGCCAGGCCGTCCGCCCCGCACCGCCAGTATTCCGCTTCCGTCGCCCACGCGCGCGCGGACCCGGGGCGCCATCAGGCCGCGGGCGCCGTCGGGCCGGCCGCTTGCTGTCGCCCACGTGTGTGCAACGCGCAACAGGTCGCCCGCGTGTCACCCGCGTGTCACCCTCGCGTTGCTAGCGTGTCGCCCACGTGTCTCCTTCGTGTCGCTGCCGTGTCGCCGAGTCACCACGGACGACGTCGATGTCGTCACCGCAGCGAGCAGGTGTGCTTGCGCGCAGTAAATCCCTTTCGGCCAAGTCCAAGGGGGCCTTCACGTCCGCCGGCACGCCGCCGGCACGCCGCCGCAGTCTACAATGTAGCTGCTGCTATATCTCGTTGCCGCAGGGCGGGGCGGGGCGGGGCAGGGTGGCGCTGGCTGGCGCAACGTATGATAACGGATTCTCTGCATCAGCAGTATCAGCCAGCTCGACGGCCTCGACGGCCTCGACGGCCACCAGGACGACGGGGACCGCGACGGGAACATCCCCAGGACGCACGGCCGTTGACGTGACGGGACTGGGGGCCCGCAATCGGGTCTGCGATCTGGCCCGTCTCCCGGACGGCTGTTTTCATTCATACCGACAGAGTAATCGGTACTCGCACGCCGAAAACAACCAGATTAGGCCGTTTCTTGAATGGGGCGGCGGTCCCCGTTCCTCGGAAAGTGAGAGTGAAAGGAAAATAGCAGGACAAAACCAGCTTGTGGAAGGGGGGAAAGAAACCAGGGCGGAAAATGGAGGGGCCGGGACGGAGGGGCGTTGCGCACGCCGCTTGTCCTTTCAGTGTCCGGGCCATCGAGGCCATCGAGGCCGAGACGCCAGTCAGCAGATCCCCGGCGAAGGCTGGACCCGTGTGA